TAGGACAGTGTTTCTCAACCTTGGCCACTTGAAGATGTCTGGACTTCAACTCCCAGAATTCCCCAGCCAGCGAATGCTGGCTGGGGAATTCTGGGACTTGAAGTCCAGACATCTTCAAGTGGCCAAGGTTGAGAAACACTGTCCCAGAAGACCTTCAGCTGGCATAAAGTGCATCATTTGTAACTTAACTCTACAATTGTGCCATTTAAAGTAATATTCGAGCCCTTCATGTACAGGTAGTCCTCCACTTAACAACCACAATTGAGCCCAAAATTTCTGTTGCCGTGAAACATTTGTTAAGTGACCTTTTTACCCCATTTTATGACCTTTCTTGCCATAGTTGTTAAGTGAATCACTGTAGTGGTTAATTTATTAATCCGGTGGTTAAACGAATCTGCCTTCCCCGTTGACTTTGCTTGTCAGAAGGCCCCAAAAGTTGATCCCTTGATCCCCGAGGACACTGCAAGATGAACCGGTTGCCAAGTGGCTGGATTTTGGTCACGTGACCCTGAGGATGCTGCAATGGTCATAAGTGAAAAATAGTCATGTCACTTTTTTCAGTTCCATTGTAACTTTGGTCACTAAACCAACTGTTGTAAGTTTCTCATTAAAAATTTTTTAATACTCTGCATTCAATTCTCTCTTAAACGTTCCCTCATCCCAGAAGCCAAAGTGCTTCATAGGATTATTTTTCTGAATTTCTGATTCAGATGTTGAGACTGGATTCCTGGGGCGAGAAAGGCTGGAGGGGGGAGAGGATTTATTCCACCTGCCTCCATGCCAGCTTTTCCCTTTTCCAGGCGAGATAAACCTCAACAGTCTCCCTGCTGGGCCAAAAACGAATTCTCAGATTTATTAGTCTCCCATCTCGCCGCTTACGGCAACTTGGAGCAGCTTTGCAGCAACCAGAGAAGATTCCAGAGGGCAGACCAGGAGGGGAGGAGCCAGGAGAATATTCAGCTTTGCCCGTAAAGATTCGGATTTGTTATTTCTGTCTTTCCAGGATCCAGAAGAGATGTGTGTCGTGATGATTTCCAGTTTCCCCGAGACTGGGCTCAGTCTGGAGGAGATTCGAAACTTAACCAAGCCCTTTGGGAAAGTTAAAGATATTTTAATTGTGTCTTCGCATAAGAAGGTACTGAACAATCTGTACAGGTTGTTAGAAGAGGAAATGCACACACGTACACACACACACACACACACACACACACACACACACGTTCGTTTGTTCATTCTTTATTAATTAATGGTTGAAAATGATTAATTTTTCCTCCCAGGGCCAATATTTGGAACAAAGAAGTCCTTTGGTTTCAGGTCACTGATAAAAGTTGTGTGTGTGTGTGTGTGTTTTTTTAAAGGCATACGTAGAAATAAGTCGCAAATCTGCAGATTCCATGGTGAAATTTTATACCTGCTTCCCAATGTGGGTGGAAAGGAACCAGCTCTGCATTTCTCTGGTCCCTGAGCTGAAGGATCTAAATGAGGTCAGTAAAAAATATTTTTTATTGCATTTATTTGCCGGCCATCTTGCCACAAGGCGACTGACTGTTCTTAAATGGTGGTTAAAGAATAAACTAAACAAAAAGTGGCTAAGGATTTATATCGGGTCGGCAACCTTAAACACTCAAAGAGGCTCCTCCCCCCCCCCCCCGGGCCTGGTTCAATTTTGGAGCCGACTGCAAGTCCGGTGTCCTTTTTCTCTACTTGTCCTAACCGAAAGCCCTATCAGTTGTGGAGCCAGCCGGTGACACGGCAGAGGGATGAAAGAGCCACATGTGGCTCCTGAGCTGTGGGGTTGCTGACCCCTGATTTATATCATTATAATCCTAGGTTGGGGAAGGCTTTTTGTTACCAAATTCCATCATTGCTTCTAAATCTGTAGTTAGGTTTAGTGAATTGCAACAACTGAAGAGGACAGAATTTTTTGGCGGCTCCTAACTATCCAGTAAGGCTTCCGGGACAGTTGAAGATTGTGGTATCCTTGGGGAGGAGTGTATGTCCCAGGAAAATGAGGAATTCAGTAAGAGGGAAAGGTACGGGAAAAGGTATATAAGGAAATATAATAACCCTTTCTTTTTTAGGAAATCATATTTACTGCGATGATTAAAGATGCAAATCCAAGCGTAAGTAACAAGAATTGTTCCTTAATACGTTGTTGTTTTTCAGTTCTGGGCCCTTGGGGTAGAGAAAGGGGTTACAAAAATAGCAAAATAGATTCATTTTTTTTTGAGGGGCGGGATACAGAAATACAGGAAACAACCATAGAGTGGAATGATAGAGCTGCATCAGTGGTGGGTTGCAGGTGGTATGTCCTGGTACGGGCGTACTGGAGCCAGCCCGGAGCACCGGATACCGTTCCGGTATGGTGCTCCGGAGGGCCCGCCCGCCTGAGCTCCTTACCAGTGTTTAAAGGCTGCTCTGTGCTTCTGTGCTGGCGCATGCCACGTACAGCGCTTGCGTGATGCTCTGTGGAGCAGCTGGAACGTCACGGAGGCAGTAAGACGCAAGCACACACTGTGCGTGTCCATGAGGACGCTGCCGGCCCTGTTCCAACCATACCGGTTGGAACTGGATTTGCAACCCACCACTGAGCTGCATATAAGATAGAGATTCACCCGGCATGTGTGGCCTCCCCCTCTCTGCCTCCTGGGTATAAGACGCCCCTCCATTTTCAAGTACACATTTGAAAGAAAAAGCAGTGTCTTGTACACGGAAAAATACGGTATATACTGAGGAAAAGGAGTCTTTGCAAGGGTCAGCTGAGTCGCATTAAAGACCCCCTGCTCATTTCGTGTACTCTCCTTCCCTTTTCCCCAGGTGAACACGGAGACTCTGTACACCCAGTTTGTGCATCTGGGGAACCTGCCGGATGTGGGCTACTCCGAGCTTGAAATCCTTTGCGTCGGCCTTCGCTTTGGACGAGTGGATCATTACATGGTGATAACCAACAAGAACAAGGTGACCCTTCTCTTCTACAAAGGCCAATAGCTGTAGGCTGAGGAAGAATGGCAGAACCCGGGGGAGGCGGAGTGGAGAGGGGAATCAGCCCAGAATCCATACGTGTCCCCCCCCCCCCAAATTCCATTGAGCCTGACTCCAAGCAGGGGCTAACCAGGGATTGAGAAGATTCCCTGGGTGGCTTTTATGGCTTTTAGCAATAACTATGCATGGGCCGGCTTTTTTGTGCATTGCTGCTAAGCAAGATAAGTTGTTAAGTGCGTTTCCCCCCGTTTTACGACCTTCCTTGCCATGGTTGTTAAGCAAATCATGCAGCTGTGAAGTTAGTCACATGGTTGTGAAGTGAATCTGGCCGCCCCATGGACTTTGTTTTTCGAAAGAGGATCACGTGACCCCAGGACCCTATAACTCAGAGGTCTTCAAACGCGGCCACTTTAAGACTTGTGGACTTCAACTCCCAGAATTCCCCAGCCAATTGGCTGGAGAATTCTGGGGATTAAAGTCCACAAGTCTTAAAGTTGCCAAGTTTGGGGACCCCTACTATAACTGTCATAAATAGAAAAGGGGTCATAAGCCACGTTTTTCAGTCTTGTTACTTCAAACGGCCATTAAATGAATGGTTGTAAGTTGAGGACTACTGTTACAGACTCTCCCTTGGCTTCAAGGAACGCTCCTCATCAGCTTGGGAGAGTAAAAACCTTCTTCAAGAGTTGGAAAAACTCCGCCGCTCTTTTAAAGAGCCCCATCCGACTCGCGCAAAGCTTTCCTTTCGAGGGGTGGGTGGGAAGGCAGTCGCCCCCTTCAAGGTTCGCTTGGGAGAAACGCAGCTCCTCCCATGTTCATTTTCTGCCCTTTGAATTTTGAAGGCCATTTTCCAGCTGAACAGTGCCGAGTCTGCAGCGTCCATGTGCCGCTTCTTAAAAAAGTATCCTTACAGTTTGGGAGAAGTGGAGCTGACCGTTGCCCGTTCGCCCAGAGTAGAACCTACAGCTGTAAGTTGTCTTTGTTTATTGAGCCTCTTTGACTTGAATTCGTTTGCAGCCCTTCATGTTCAGGATGGCTCCGAATGCAGAGAATGCTTGCAATTTTTAATGTCAGCGTGTTGGTATGCAGGTGTTAGGTGGGTTTTGTTGTTGTTGTTGCCATGCGAAGGGTGTTTGGCTGGAAATTTGCCATCTGGGCAGGGTGGAATGTAGCTTGCAGAATTCATAACCAGGATTTGTTAACGAATGTCCAATGATTTTCCAGCTTTTTCCCATGTAGACAGTCGCGTCATTATACTGTTTCTTGCATATCAAAAAAGCTGAACTTTTTTTTTAACAGGCTGATGCTGTAAAAAAAGAAGTGAAAAAGCAAGAAGCAGGCCAAGAGAGGTATTTTTTCATCGATATCCAAAGGGTGTGCGTGTATTTGTGTGTGTGTGTGTGTGAGTGGGTGAGTGAGGGGGTGGTAGGTGTGGGATGGGATGGCAGAGATTTCAATTGTGACCGAATAAAACAAAACAGAATTCTATTTTTTTTTCCTTTTTGTGCTAAGCCTTGAATTCTGGCTTTTAAAAACCAACCCCCGCCCCTTCCCTCATTCCTTTGCCTCGTTCTGCACCTGGCATGAAAGAATAAATGGGTTTTTCAATGCATGCATGTTCGTCTCAGTTGTGTTTTGTTCCTGGGACACAGGTGAGCCCCGAGAAGTGACACCACCACCACCTGTCACCATAGGTATCCGACCCACATTTTTGAATGCCAGTGCTTTTTAAATCCTGGTGCCTATTCATGCCTTCTGTTAACATGATTCGTTTTTCTAAGTTGGTTGACTTGGGACCTGGGATATGTGACTTTATCAAGCCGTTTGAGTGCAGCCCAGGAGGTCACAGCCTGGGCTGCCATCCTCTAAATTCTGCAAACAAACTGCTAAATTACGTTCAGAGGTTAAAACACTTCAAAGGAGAGGTAACACAACGTTCAAATAGTCGTATTGGGACTTAATTTATATATTTATAAGAAGTAAGGGGACAAAGATATTTTAATGCATAATAAAGGGACATTTTCCTTTCAAAATGTCTTTTGTAACCCCAAACCCATCTCTTCCCTAGTTTACTTTAGATAACGTAAATATAATTTGCCTATCTATATATTGTAGATGCACATTTAAAATAAATGTACTTCAGGCAACCAGAACCTTTGAAACGATCTCTGTGGTGTTCGCTAACTATATGATGATGTAGACTTGGAGCAGGTTTTGTGTGTATTTTATTTTACCACAACTAATAAAATACTGTTTTTAGAGTACTTACTTCTACACATCCAGCCTCTTGAGGAGTTGATGGTCTCTGCATGTTGCCTATGGAGAGCCCTGGCATATGGGCACTCTGGTCCCTTCTCCTGTAAATGTCTCGGTATTTCCCATCAGAAAAGGCTTGGATTTCTGGGTTAAACCGGGAGCAGCTACACTCCGGGGTGACTCTCCATGAACAGTTCCATGTTTTATTGCCTCTTTTTGCCTGTTCTGCCAAAGGGAGGGAACAGTACGGCTGCTAGGTATTCCAAAGCTGTTACTTTCTAAACTTTTCTTTTTAGGCATTTCAATTTAAAATGGAAGAAACTCCGTGTTAACCTATATAAAGCAGGGGTGTCTAACTTGGCAACTTGGAGACTTGTGGACTTCAACTCCCAGAATTCCCCAGCCGGCCTTGCCAAGTTGCCAAAGTTGGACACCCTGTTGTAAATGCTGCTTCTTACACTGATTGCAGATGAAAGTAAGAAAATATTGGAAGCCATGGAAACAGAAAGAAAGCTTAATTTTTCTTTTGCCTTGTTCTTATCAATAGAATTTTGGGAAACCCTGGAGAAACATATTTATGGCTTTGTAGTTGGTCAGGCATGCTTCCAGCATTTGCCAGCAATTACCAATGGGTGACACAGACGTGATGAGCAGGTCCTCTTCTCGATGCGGGGACCTGGCATCTGTCCTGAATATTTTTTTTTCTGCCCCATCCCTCTATCCCCCCCCCTCCCCTCCCGCCAAAGAAAGCAGAACAAAATGACTGAACAATGAACTGAATTTTGAGCTGAGAACAAGAGCTCCATCATTGGAGGTTTTAAAGAAGAGACTGGACAAGCACTTGTCTGAAATGATCTAGGGTCTCCTGCTTGAGACCTCCAAGGTCCCTTCCAACTCTGTTATTCTGTTAAGTTGGCTTCCAAACAGATTGGTTCTGTTTTATTGCTCTCTCTGGATTGTCCTTTTCATTCAGTTCCTCAGTAGTCCGAAGAGAAGGGGCTGCCTTAGTGTCAGAACACGAATGCGGAACAAGCTCTTTAATGCTCCCTGAAATCAAGAGGACTTGTCAAGTTCCTGCAACTTTTATTTTTATTTTCTGGTTTTCCCATACATCTTCAGCACGTTTTCTTTCTTATTTATGAATCCTAGTTTTGTTATACTTTGTTTTTATCAAATGATTTCAGATTTGCAAGGCATCCCAACCACCCAAGGTTTCCCCCCCCCCCCACTTAAAATATCATTCTCCCAAGCGAATTGTCCAATTCCCGTATTCCTTGAAAGCTATTTGAAATATTCTTGGGAGGTTGCTTATGAACAATAATGCTCTTTGATTAAGGCGATTGAATGGACTTTGAACAACGTCTTCATCCTTTTTTCAGAAGAAAAGGAATTCAGTGCTATTTACTTTATTGGTGAAAAGCAAAAAAGGGAGGGGGATTATTTTGCACTCATCTTTGGAAATCTTTAGTTTAAAAACCTGCTTTTGCAGGACTGCTACTTATTGTTAACACTTACCTTGCAGTCCCTTTCCACCTATATTATGTAAGATGCTTGTTTGGGAAAGGGTATCTCTCAGGATTGAACAGTGTGCCTAGAATATCAGCGTCATTGAATGGGCGATCACAGCTCAAAAGTCCCAGCCAAAGCTTGAACAGATTTTGATTCGGCTTTGGAATCTCGTTCAGAACGGAGTCAGTCTGACTTCTCTTTAATCCATCCTTCTGTGGTCATCGTCTTCTTCTTCTTTGCTGGCTGTTGGAAAAGCCAAGCCCCATTTGAAAGAGCAGAGATTGGCAGTTCTGTTAGAGACCAGATCGCGAACTTGTAAAATCGGCCCTGCTTTTATCATTTTTTGCAGAAGATTGCGAGAACTTCTCCCGTGATGACAAAGGCCTGTGAAGCTTGCAATCAATCAGTTCATGTCTGATTCTTTTACCGATTCTAAGGAGAACTGAAGGGTTTTTTTTGGGGGGGGGGGTGTTATGCACAACTGTCTACTATTCTGTCTGGTTTGTGTTTCTTGTGCCAGCCCTACACACGACAATTCCTGCCCATGATACCGTTTCAGTGTCCTGTCATCATCTATTGTAGTGATATTGAGACTCCAGCCCTTTTCCCTAAATAACCCACACTGTCCTTGGAATCATGAGATAATGGCAGATGGTTGTTCCAAAGGGAGGGAGTGGGGAATGGAAGATGTCCTTAGAGCTTTCCAGAAGGCGTTTATTTGGCTGAAAACGGTTGGGAAACAAATAAACAAAAACAGGCTTTCAACCAGGGCGGTTGAAACTGCTTATATTTTTGAAAATGTTTCTCTGCAGTATTATCCCCTACATTTGTCTCATAATTCAGGTTTCCTTGGGAACTTTCTGGCACTTGGGATCCCCTTTTACACGTGGATATTTCTGTTCCCCTTGGAAGTGTCCTGACTCATTTGGGCTCAGCCCGCTGAGCCTGTGGACAAATTATTAACATTTCTGTTCTCAGTTTAACTCGTTCACAATCCGAGCACAAGTTCTCTTGTGTATTTTGTTGTATGTGGGGTTTTTTTCCTCCCTGCCTTAAGTTCTAATCTTCTCAGCTCCGGGTTCACCCAGGGCATCTGGGTAGTGAGCTTCGGAGGAGCCCTTTAGGGTTGCCTCCCATCATGGTAGGTAGCTTAGAAGCGTTTCCCCCACGCTTAAACCGAGGTTAGTAGAATAAGTTAGACCTCCCCATCCTAAGCCATTAGAGCTCCAGGAGATCCCAGCCGTTGGCATCAAGAAGTAATTGATAACTGTGGCATTCTCAACATAGCTTGATTTGTTCTGTTTTTTTAAATACATTTAGCCCTGACTTGAAAACAATTCCCGAAGGATCAGGAGTGGTGCCCCCATCTGCTGTTCCTCCCACGGAGGCCAAGGAAGACCGCGGGTCTGATCCGGAGGCTATCCCAGACACAGAGACTAAGCGCTTGGATAGCGAGAAGGTGGTAGGGGAAGCGGCTTCCCAGCCCCTGAAGACGGAAGACTTGAAAGAAGACCCGGAAGCGTTAAAAAAGGACTTTGGGCTTGGAGCTCCAAGCACAGGCCAGGATTTTGAGTCTCCAGACCTGAAACCCGAAGAAGCCGGCACTTTGTCCTCCTCTGCTCTGGTAAAGGAAGAAAAAAAGACTGATCCTTCTGACCCGGAATTGCCGAGAAAGGCCCCTCTGCCTGACGGAGAGAAGGCAAAGGAGGAATTAGGGAAAGCAGAGGAATTTCGCGGTGACGCAAACGAAGGAACCCCCGGAGCCCTCTCGGCCTCAGCCACGGAGGAAGAGACCAAGGCAGACCTCGGGCCGGGCTCCACCCAAGCTGCCCTGCAGGAAACGCCAAGCGCTGATCCTCTGTCCAGTAACAGGCTGGCTTCTCCAGAAGCAGATGCTACCGAACCCACCACCAGCTTAGCAGAGACACCTGCTCCCAAGGTGAAGGTGAAGGTGGAGGAAGAGCTGGAGGGCGCCTCTAGCGCCTCCCAAGCGGGTGCGGCGGTAGCCGAGCCAGCCGCGGCGGAAACGAAGGAGAAAGTAAAGGGAAGGGCTCAGCTGCTGCAGAGGGTTGAAGTGACCCTGGAGAAACTCCCGAAAGACTGGGCCTCAAGCGCTGAAGAAGTCAAACTGCAGGAGACCCCAGAGGAGAAGGCCAAGGTACAGAAGCCCGAGGAAATTGTGACGAAGACACCGCAAGGTAAAGGACCGGGACCAGCGGAAGCCGAGGAATCCTGCACAGCGAGCGCGCAGGAGGCAGAGACTGTAGCCGACACAGAGGCCGCTCCTGCCGCCAAGGCTTTGAACACACCCAAGACCAGACTTTCGGGTCGAAGGAAAGAGAAAAAGCCGCCCGGCAAGCCCGCTGCCAAGAGCCAAGGGGCGGCTGAGAAGACGCCGTCGCCAAAACCAGTGAGTCAGCAAAGGCCGGCGAACGCCCGGTCCAGCATCCCAGATAGCGCCAAGTCTAAACTAAGCATGAGTTCGGTGGTGGTGGTTGCGTTAGGCGGTGGGAAGAGCTCCTCGCAGCAAGACAAGGACCCCCCGGCGGAGACCAAGGGGAGTCCCAAGCAGAGCCGAGAGCAAGACAGTAGATCCTCCAACCTCAAGCGGGATACCGGCGGCAATAAGGTGAGGAGGGGATTAAAGCGCTGGCTGGTCCCTAACCTTGACGCTTCTTCCAGTCCTTGAACGAGTCCCTGTCCCCTCCCTGTACGCGATTACTGCACTTGGCGCCACCAAACCGGTTGGCGCCATGCAGCGTCGGTTGGGAGGTGCGTTCGGAAGTGGCTTAAACCTGGAGGCGTTTGGCGGAAGGGAGGAAAGAGCCGGCTCTTCATGATGCAGATTTCTGAACGGACACGTGGTGTTTGTTCCTTCCTTCCACTGGCGGTTCCTGAGATTCTCCCGTTGCGAGCTGCGGCTTCTCGTGCAGCATCCCGGCTGTTTTGCGTAGACTCCATCCTGAAGTCAGATAAGTTACCCGTAAAAACCACTGGTGCGCTGAATGCTCAGGTCTTAAGAACGATTGGCACGGTCTCAACTTGTAGTGTGTAAAGAATGCCACCTCTTTGATGATAAATTGTGCTCACGAGGCTGCTGTCCTCATTGCTCACCATCTTCCCACTTCTCCCCCCCCAGGTGTCCGCTGAGAGAAATACCAGAAGCTCTAAAAACAATCCTAAACCCAAAGAGGTGAGCGAGTCAGTGAACACTCTTCTTGTAACCCAGGGGAATGGGATGTGGGAAGGACTTTAGGCGGGGGTGAGGGTCAAACTTGATTTAATTGAGGGTTGCATCAGGGTGGTATTGACTTTGGGGCATGGGGGGGGGAGGTGGCCAGTTTGATGTCACTCATGTCGGGTATGGGCACAAATGACAGAGAGGGGGAGGAAGAGAGAGGAGAGGGAGACATAGATTGTCTCCATAGATTGGACGGACAGATGTATAGACACAGAAATAGACTCCAAAAAGACAAGCCAGCTGCCTATCTGCTTCTTTGAACCTATAAAAGATCTCCTTCGTTCTAGATCACCCTCTTAAGCAAGCTCTGGCAACTTTACATCCTGTGGGATTATGGGAGTTGAAGTCCACAGGTTGTACAGTCCTTCCGAAGCATCCTCTGACTCTGGTGTTGCCTGCATGCTTCCTTTTTTTCTTTTTTGCCTTCTGATATCTGCCACAATGACATGTGTCTCTTAAGTTGTTTACAAATCAAATGATGTAATACGGTGGGTTTGGGTCCCCCCCCTTTGTCTTTCTGTAGGAAGAGGAGCTTTTTCCATTTAATTTGGACGAGTTTGTGACCATGGATGAAGTTGTCGATGAAGCGGAGCCCCCTCAGCCTAGGAAGAACCCCGTAAGGGGCAAAAGGAAGGACCCCCCAAAGAAGAACCTTCCCTGCGAACCAGGCTCCAAGAGGAAGAAAGGCAAGGGGTTGGTCGCGGCCGAGAGCGAGGTCTCCTTCGTGACCTTGGATGAAATCGGAGAAGACGAAGGCGGGATGGGCCAGGCGGACCTTCTGAGCTTGGAAGCCATGACCGACGACGCCCAGGGACTGGTCACGGTTGACGAAGTGAACGAAGAGGAGGAGCTGATCGATGAAGATATTAAAGATCCCCAGTCGCTGGTCACTTTGGACGAGATCTCCGAGCAAGAGGAGGTCGCTCTCCCGGAGGGGGCCAAGGGGGCTTTTGCTTCAGGGGAGAGCGAGCCGGACCTCAAGACAGAGCCTTTAGTGACAGTGGATGAGATCGGAGAGGTGGAAGAGCTTCCCTTGAACCAGCTTTCCCACTTGAAGGATGAGGAGGTGCTCAAATGCTGCAAGGAAGATGAGAAAGGAGGGGTTGAAGACGCCGGAGATTTTCTCTCTTCCCAGATCCCGGACGATCCCAGCATTTTAGTCACGGTGGACGAGATTCACGAAGACAGCGACGACCAGCCCTTGATGACTATAGACGAAGTGACTGAAGATGATGAAGATTTCTTGGAAGACTTCAACCGCCTGAAAGAAGAGTTTAGCTTTGTTACCGTCGACGAGGTGGGCAGCGAAGAGGAGGAGGAAGAAAAACCCGGCACATCTGCCAGCAGAAATTTAGAAGGAGCGACCAAAACGGCACCGGAGAAAAGAGCCGACGAGAACATCCAGTCTTCTGCGGAATCAGAAAACTTTAAAATTCCAGCCAACCCCCCGTTAGAACGGATGAAAAGCGTTCAGGGTAAACCTCTGGAGGGTGAAGCATCTGCAGCCCAGCCGGGGGGTCCTGAAAATGAGAAGCCCCTGGAAGAGGAGGTAGAGCTGCCCAGGGAAAAGATTGAGCTAGAGTGTAAAGAAAAGGAGGAAAGAAAAGACGTGGAGCAAACGGAGACACTCACCGAATCTGACGCCGGTTGCAAGCAGCTGCGGACAGATAGGAAGCGGGTCGGCCTCGAGGTGGAGAGGCCCTCCAAGAAGCAGCGAAAACTCGTTGAGGAGCAGACCGGAAGCCTAAAGGTGCCCCTTCTCTCTGCAGAGCCGGTAGAGAACCAGAAGGAGCAGCCTTGCAGCAAGGGAAGCGACTCCCAAGAGGAGCAGCAACCGCTCGGTAAGGGTGCCTTTGCGTGGTGTCATGGTTCTGAGGTATGCCGTAATTAAATCATGAGCCTCGGGCCAAGCTTCAAAATAAATTCAATTACTTATTAAGAGCACACCCAAGTGAAGCCAGCTCTGACCCCATGTAATTTACGGCCCAATTATGACCCTGTTTCCCCCCTCCCTCCCCGGGGTGTGTCATAAATCACATTCTCCAAGGGAGCACTTTCGGGGCTGTAGAGATCACGCCCCTCCGGCTGTTGTAGGTAACTTAGGACACAGCCTTGAGAAAAGTATGCGTGGAATGTGTTTGTGCTGCTCCATCAATTTCCCCCCCCTTCTTGCCTATGGCAACTCGAGAGCAGGCCAAGGAGGCTTTGCGAGTTGACACATAGCAGGTGTCAACCCTGGGGTGGGGGTGGGTGCAATATGCTGACTCTGTAAACCGCTTAGAGAGAGCTGTAGAAGCACCGTGAAGCGGTATATAAATCTCAGGGCTGTTGCTACTGTAAAGAAACACTGCACCCCCTTTTTGGGGGGGGGTGGCTGTCTGATTGGGGCGAGCCTTACTGGGGTTGGTTAATGGATCAGATAGAAGATCACAACTCCTTGCCCTCCCCCCCCCATTTGTATACAGGTAGTCCTTAACAACAGTTCGTTTAGCGACTGTTCGTAGTTACAACGGCACTGGAAAAACTGACCTATGGTTCTCCACACTTACGACGGTTGCAGCATCTCCCCCCGGTCACGTGATGAAGATTCAGACTTTCTTGGCAACTGACTCGTATTTATGATGGCTGCAGTGTCCCAGGTCACGTGATCCCCTTTTGTGACCAAGCCAAGTCAACCAGGAAGTCAGGACAAGCCCATGTTACTAACGTCACTTAACAACCATGACAAGAAAGGTTGTAAAAGGGGGCAAAGCTCAACAAACATCTCACTTAGCGACAGACATTTGGGGCTCAATTGTAGTCCTAAGCCGAGGACTACCTGTAATACCTCAGAAGGCTCCGAAGCCGCCTCTTTATTTGCACATGATTGGAAATAGGAAAAAGGAAAATAAACAAAAGTGTCATGTCCAGGACCTCAACCAAATCCATTCTGGATTACCATATTTTTCTGAGTAAAACGCACCTCCCCCCCCCCAAAATGAGGGTGAAAATTTGGGTGCATCTTATACACCGAGTGTACCCCCCTCTTTTGATCTCTGCCTCCCAGCAATTTACCTTCTTGTAGCAAAGAGAGAAAATGGGGGTTTCGGAGGCAGCAATGGGCTATAGCAATCCCTGCAGCCATTGAAAGTGAAACTTGAGAAACTGAAAGTGAAACTTGCTGTTTGCTCCAGGAGGCAAATTGCTGGGAGGCAGAAGCAGATTTTTTTTTCTTGTGCTAATCAGGCTGTTTGCTGCAAAGAGGTCAGTCAATAACTATAAATGCCTGTAGAATGTTCAAATTATTAGTCTTATTTTTTAAAGACTGCTTTATTCTTGTTCTAGACAAACTTAACAAAATGAAGAAGCTTTTTAAAATAAACGCTTTGCCTGAAGAGGCCCAGTGCTGTTGTATCTCCTTTTAAACAGCAGAGAAGAATGTATACTTCCAGAAAGCCACGTCAATTTTAACAGCATCTGTGCAAGTATAGTCTGAAATGTAACACCACAAACAGTGTATATCTTCTATACTGTTTGCTGTTTGTTGCAAGAAGGCAAATTGCTGGGAGGCAGAAGCAGATTTCCCCCCCTTGTTTTCCTCCCCAAAAGCTAGGGGCGTCTTATACTTCGGAGCGTCTTATACTCTGAAAAATATGCTAGCCTTGGTTCAGCACAAACAAAGGTTTTGGCCATTCCAGGTTTTAAGTGCAGGGAAGTCCTGGAGGCTGTGAGGGACTGGATGAGGGGCAGCAGCCTTTGGCCGAACCCTGGCCAGAAAAAACGGCCTTGGGTGCAGGAAGTTTCACGATCCGGGACTTTAAATTCCTTTGTTCTGGATGGGGTGTGTGTGTGTGGCTCTGCCCCATACAGACCCAGCCTTTGCCTTGGGGTTCCTCCTGGACTCCTCCTGTACCAAGGCCCCACAGTTCAGCCCCGAGCTACAAATCATCTCTTCCAACGTGGTTTTACATGGTTTTTGGATTGGGAGAGTTGGTTGAAAGACGGGCAGCCATATTAAGCGCTCCAAGTAAAAACACCCCAATCTATTGAGATTTCTGTCCCGACAGGCGACGGGGCGAGGCCTGCAGAGGACGCTGCGCCTGAAGCAACCGAAACGGAGGTGGAAGGAAGCCCAGCGGCCACTTCAGAGGAGGAGAGGAAGGGAGACGCTGTAGCGATACCATCCCCGAGCCCAGGGATTTCCCCAGAGGGCATGGCAGCTGGAGAACCACAGGCGGCACCCAAAGCAGCTGCCCAGAATCCTGAGCTGAGCTCTGATGTGGCCTTGGGAAAGGGCAGTGAGGCCGATCCTTTGCAGCCCTGCGAAAAGCCTTGCAGAGGTAGGAACCAGAGGGAGGGAGGGAGAGAGAGAGAGAGAGAGGAGCACCTTGGCCCATGCTTGGCCCCATTCGTGGCTCTGCCCTCACGGCTCCAGCCGTTGCTCTCGCCAAGCAGGGCAGCATCTCTTGCAACTCACTCTACCTGGGGCTGCCCTTGGAAAGTATCCGGAAGCTCCTGTTGCTTCAAATCGCAGCAGCCTGCATGGTTTTGTGCAGGAGCTGCATTGGCTGCCAAATTGACCCAGGTGCAATTCAAGGTGCTGGTTGTCGCCTTCCAAGCCTTCATGGCCTGGGAGCAGGTTATTTGAAAGGCCCCTCTTTCCCCAGTGGCATCCATCTACCTGACCCACCAGAGAGGGGAGGCAGGGGACGTTACTGGCCCCGTCTCTTTTAGGAGGCCCATTTGCTGGGACCCAGAAGAAGGGCCTTCTCTGTGGTGGCCCCCTCCCTGTGGAACATCATCCTCACAGAGATTAGTCTGGCCCCCACTTGGACCCCCTTTCACAAGGTCCTGCCAATGGGCTTGGGGAACCCCGAGTGGGAGGGAGCCCATCCTCGCTTGACGGATTGCTGTGGGCTTTTCTTTTGGCTTACCTGCCACACTGATGGCCGTGGTGGCTCCTTGGGCTGGTTGTCTTTGTTTTTTTGTTTACTGCTAGCTTATTTGTCCGAGTTGATGGTTCCTTGATTGGGATATGGGGGCTTATTGCTTTTGCCATGACTGCATATGGGGCTTTCATTTTTTGTGAAGCCATCCAGAGTGAGTGGGCGGCCAGATACATTTCCTAGATAAATCAATAAATCTGAACCTTGGAGGAGCAAGTAAGAGGTAGCGTCAAGCATAAATGAAAAGGGGTGCATTTATTACATGAGAACACTCTACAAGAACCAGGGTCAGGGGAATTCAAGGTGGGCTGGGCTTGGATCTCTTGTGGGCACAAAGGGACTCCGGACTGATGGTACGCTTGACCCCTCCCTCGGGCCCAGCCTGGTCACCTCCTGCAGGCGGGCGGGTGGGCAGCCACTGGCCATGTATGGAAAGAGTGTGGCACAATGGCAGCATGGGGTCAGTTACCATCTGTACTAATCTGAACGTCGCTGTTGTAGATCGGATGGAATCCAAAAGTGAAGAACCAGAAAGTAAACAGAGAAAAACAGATTCCTCGGAGAAACCGAAGGCTCCAAGCCAGCTGAAAGGTAGGCCTTTGGGGCAGCAGACGCTGAAAGGAAACCCTTATGGTGGCCTTCAGGGTTCAGCCGAGGTCACTTGCCGAGAATGGCAGCTTGTTTGTCTTCGCTGTACTTTGAACTCAGTACTGATGTCTGAGCAGTTAAGAGCGGGGTCTCCTGTGCACCGCTTGGAGAATCCAAGCATGCGGTTAACTTTGCCCATTTGCCTTGAGATCGAGTTAGGAAAAAGTCTTGGCTTTCTGCATGTTTCTCCCTCCCTTCAAAGACCGTAGGCAGTTAGGGTGCTCCGAAGCGTCCCCCAAACACTGAGGCCAGGGAGCAGAAGTGGGAGGAGAATGGCGCTTTGCGTATCCCTGTCTGGCATTTCTTGGTTTAGGAAATAATGGAAGTGAGGGAAAAATTAGGGAGGGGATTAAAAATAAGCATCAAGACGCTTTCTTGCTCTGTTTAGATAGCCTTGTGGTGAGATGGGCAGCAAACGAACTAGAGATCGATAGATAAGAGAGGGGTGAGAATATGATAGAAGATGAATAGATAGAGGATAGATGGATAGAGGATGGATGGATAGATGGATGGATGGATGGATGGATAGATAGATAGATGAGAGAGAGATGGATAGATGGATAGAGAGAGGATAGATGTCATAGAGAACAGATAGACAGACAGATGGATGAGGGGGGAAAGATATGAGATGAATAGATAGAGGATGGATGGATAGATAGATAGATAGATAGATAGATAGATAGATAGATAGATAGATAGATAGAGGAGAGGGGGAGAATATGATAGAAGATGAATAGATAGTGGATGGATGGATGGATGGATGGATGGATGGATGGATGGATAGAGGAGAGGGGGGAGAATATGATAGAGGATAGATGGATAGAGGATGGATGGATAGATAGATAGATGGATAGATAGATAGATGATAGATAGATAGATAGATAGATAGATAGATAGATA